TGGCAAAACAAATGAACATCACTCCAACCAAAGGAAATGCATCACTAAGACACGAGGACAAAAGATGGAATCAGTTTTGGGAAAATGAAAATGGGCATACATTAATTTAGTCTTGTGAGCTATGAGAAATAATGAATACAATTTAGGTATAAATACTTTTTAATCTACTCATAGGGCAGACAGCTGAAGTACATGACCCCTGAACCTGCTATGTATCACTGGATGAGAGCCAGATTGGTGTAGTGAGGCACCAGGCTAGAAATCAAAAGACCATTCCTGGACAGTCTCCAGGAATCAAAACTGACTCAAAAGCACAAATCTGTATGTGTTTCTATCACTGGGAAGCTTCAAAGCTGCTATTCTTTCCACTTACAGTGTTAGAGAATGGATTGGCCAGTCATTCTGACTATAATGACAATTCCTGCTAATGTAGCATTACTTTATCTGGATGATCCCTAGATGTCAGCAAGATTGGATAGAGCCTGCAAAGCCCAGGATCCTTGGCTTCCTCATCATTTTGAACAAGGATGTGATTTCACAAGATCCTCAATCTTTGCATCTTCCATGATTCCATAAAAGCTGCCAAGATCCTGCTGAGAACTGAAGAAGCTGTGAATAATGGTGGGTGGGGTAGAAACAGAATGAGGGAGGGAAGCATGGTTTCTCTAGAATAGGCTCATTCAAACATGCAGAAAAAAGTAAGTTTATATTGTACAACTCTAGTCTCCCAGCAGCCATTTTGTGATGACAACTACAATACTTCTCAACATTTGAAATGTATATGTTGGCCCAAAACACATACTAATTACTTAAAACAGAGCTCTGTTTGCCTGTAGCAAATTAAGAAAATTGCTCTGTGTGTGGATTTTGGAAGAGAACTAAGAAATGTGTCTTACCTATAAGTTAGAAATATAGTCCATCTTAATTTTCAGAAAGTGTCAAATAGTTTTGAACTATAATTAGATACCAAGAAGAAAACGTCAACTTTTTCAAGTTTAGCAAAGACTAATTATTTTTGACAGAGGTGTCTGCAGGTCTGGTCTCAAAAAGACACGATGTCAGCTGTGATGCATGTAAAAGGGGTAGGGCTTGATCATGCAGTTGAGGCTGCCATCTTGACCTTTCTGATATCCCTGTGGGTACCCTGGTATTGTATTTATAAGTTAGAATTAAATGTTTGCCAGTAAGCAATTATTTTTATCCATTATAATTTACCTACTATTTTTTAAATTTTACATTTGTTATTAATTGCTTAGAGTGTGATGCTTATTAACATCTCAGTATAGGAAATCTCCTCCTAGCAACGGAATAACTATATAATTTTGATTATATTGGTGCTAGAACTACAAAAATATTTATGGAATTTCTGAGTCCAATTCAAGGCCTTCAAAGCCCTTCATGGTATGGGCCAAGTAATCTGAGGGGCCACTTCTCCCCAATTTTAACACTTCATTAGGTCTGATAGAGAGGGCATACTATGGGTTCCACCTACAAAAGACTTAGATGGGTGCCAGTAAGGAGGGCTTCTTCGCTGTGGCAACTACCTTTCGGAATATTTTCCCCTGCCCCTCCCCCTCCAATTAGGTTTGCTCCATCTCTGTTAATGTGCAGGAGATGCCTCAAGATCTGGTTGTTTTCAGGGAACCAGTGACTTATTAAGGTGGCGCCCATATTTCTGTCTCCATTTGTGGATTGTAAATTTTAATTTTTAGTCTTTCTTAATATTTAATAAAGATTACTTATATTTTATAATGAATGTTTTATAATGACTATTTTTATATTGTGGTTTTAATGCTATTATTGTATGTCACTCAGAGTCGCTTCTGGTAAAATGGGTTACCATATAACTTTGAATAATAAATAAATGCATGTACAAAGTGTACCAAATATCAAGTCCCATTAACAAAGTCAAGTGTATAGAGAATTTATTATATAAAAGGTAAAGGTAAAGGTTCTCCTTGCACATATGTGCTAGTTGTTCCCGACTTTAGGGAGCGGTGCTCATCTCCGTTTCAAAGCCAAAGAGCCAGTGCTGTCTGAAGATGTCTCCGTAGTCCTGTGGCTGGCATGACTAAATGCTAAAGGCGCACGGAATGCTGTTATAATTTATTATATAAGTTACATTAAATGTTCAAATTAGTTGCCCTTTTCTTCTTATTCATTTCACGTAGGACATGAACACAGTAAAACTTTCTCTGGAAAAAAAATTAATAAAGCATATTATTTGGCCTATGTGGCCTAACTTTTGATACACCCTGTACATATAACCACCAAAGGATTTCTTGTTTAAATTTGATGATGCTTGGCATAGTTAGAATAATGTTGGGCTCTTGGCCAAAAAACTTCTTTTCATTTCCAACAGTTCCCGGAATGAGCATATAATGAAATGATCACACTTGTCCTATGGAACATTTTGTGAAGTATTGCAGAAAATAAGATGACAATGCCAGTACTATTGCAATTTATAAGGAGTTTAAGGAAAGGAGATCCCTTGATCATCTTCTATATTTTTTTTTAAAAAAAGACAAATAAATATAGTCTTCCTCCAATCTTGTTTAAGCTTTTTTTAATGCTTATGAAAAGATATGAGGCCCCAAAACTGCTCAGCCAAGGACAAAGTAGGTTTTATTTAGCGATGTATTTCAAATATGAGTGTTTTTGTCCTGGTGTGATAGATGCTTTAAGAAAAGAAAGCTTAAATTCCCAGAACATGGAATTTTAAATTCCCTCCCCCTTTCTGTGTCCACTGGTTTCTTTCTTTCTTTCTTTGATTTTTATCCCACCTTTATTATTTGAATGAACGACTAGAACAGTTCTGATCAGGGAACATTTATCAGAATGAAAATGTATACAATATTCAGCAAGGATATTCCTGTTTCAGCATAAGACCTATTTCTGTAAATCAGCAAATAAGCAAGGAAACAAAGTTGGATTTTCTCTTTGAATGACTGGAATTTCCACTCTCTGAAAAAAATGCTTCTGTTCTGTATGTTCATAGAACTTTGCTTAACACCCCCATCCCTTAAAAAAAACCCTACAAGAAGTAATATGCTGCAAAGGCAACAAAAAATGAAAATGCATATGAAAAACATAAAACCATACATTTCCAGTAACATTTCCTAAAGGTAAAATAGGTAAAACAGGAATACATTTATGTGACTATTCTGAATATACCATTTTTGTCTTAATTACCAGACCATTTACAAACATTAAATTATGCCCCTGTTGAATGCAACTCAAAATTTTAGACGAAGGATAGAGTGATATAAGAAAAATTGGGAAGAAGGGTTCTACTCTAGTATTATTCTACAGATAAGGGTTCTATATATTAACAGTGATTTTCTTCCTATGACACAGAAATGCACACATGCACAAGAATATAATACAAATAAATGATTGTTTTTCTCATTTTGGAGGAAACTAAATGTACAAGCAAAAGTATACAACAAAGACAAAATTCAGATGGAACCCAATTAGGTACTTTAAGATGTATGAAAGATTTTATAGCAGAAGTGGCAGAACCTGGGATCAGAGTTAAAAGAGGATCAACTTAGAATGTCTATGTAGTCACAAGTGAATTAAGTCCAACTCTCCCTCCCCCCTGAATTCCATTGATCCTTATCTAACTCCTAGCAGGTGCTAACCTGCAGCCAGCAACAACATCCCATCGCCTGGTTCGCGCCCATAGGGAGGGCCTGCTCAGGGTGCCGTCGGCAAGACAATGTTGGCTGGCGGCCCCCAGGGGTAGAGTCTTCTCTGTGGGTGCACCCACCCTCTGGAATCAACTCCCCTTGGGGCTCCGGTTGGCCCCTGACCTTCGCACCTTTCGCCACGAATTAAAAACTTGGTTATTTGAGTCCCCCGGCCAGGACTGATGGGGTTTTATACGGGTTTTTTAACTTTATCTGATTTAATTAGGCATTTTAACTTCGTATAATGGATTATTGTGGTTTTTATTGTTGTGAACCGCCCTGAGTTTGTTAGAGATAGGGTGGCATATAAACCTAATAAAATAAAATAAATAAATAACTGTTAGTTGAGAATATTCCTGTGAATAGGCATGAGTGGTAATAAATCAGTTTAATTGGACCTTCATGTGTTGACCTGATCTTTCATGCCTAACAGTTTTTACAAGTGCAAGTAAACATTGTTTTCAGAGAAGAAAAATGATAGGCTTACAATGTGGCTGGACCATCTTAACACTTCTGTTTGCATTAATAGAAAAAGAAGCTTTCAGACCAATTTGTAAAAAAAAAAAAAGGATGAAAATTAAACTTCCTAATTTCTCCTCAGCTATTATTTGCATTTGTGAAATACATACATATAAATAAATAATGACCAAAGCCCCTCAAAGTTGAATTATAAATAAATAATGACCAAAGCCCCTCAATGTCAGAATAGAGGCATAGATTTTGTTTTAATGAAAGAACTGTAGGATAAAATTTAAACTTTTTGCAGTCTACACTTTTTCAAGCTACAGTTCCCTTCCCTGTAAAGTATTTTTTTCCAGTGAAGCTTCTTAGATGAATTTGTGTAAACTAAGTAATCCAAATCACATAGGAGATGAGGAAGCAGCTTGATGAAAACTGGGAGCTGCAGTGGAAAAAATAATAATAGGCAATTTTATTTCCCAATTACCCATCTGACATGTAATTTATCCCTTGGAAATAAATTCCACGTGATTCTTGTTTTTAGATTTTTCTTAATATAAGCACTACCAATGCAACTTTTTAAAAAGGAAAATTCAGGGAGTAGAAAGTGTGAAATAAATATTCTAAAAACAAACAAAAAGTCAAGATGGCAGTTGCAATCACATGACTGAAGCCTGGCTCTTTTTTTTTTTTTACAAGTGCAACATGTGTTAAAAAGGGTGGGGCTTCATAGGATCATAGGGCTGGAAGGGACCTTGGAAGTCTTCTAGTCCAACCTCTTGCCCAAAGCAGAAGTCCTTATTCCATCCCAGACAAATCATCCAAATCTTTTCTTGACAACCACCAGTGAGGAAGCACCCACAACTCCAGGAGGTGAGCTGTTCCATTGGCTAATTTCTCATTGTTTGTGCTTAGTCCCAGGTTGGATATCCCTCTGATGACCTTTCATCCATTGATTGCTTCTTGTCCTGCCCTCAGGTGCTATGTAAAATAAACCAAACCCCTCTTCCCTGGGACAGCCCTTCAAGCACTGGAAGATGTCTATCATTTCACACTTAAGCTTTCTCTTAGTTAGGCTAAACATACCTAGTTCCCTTAGATGTTCATTGTATGGTTTAGCCTCCAGACCCTTATCTTATTTGTTGCTCTTCTCTGCACTCCTTTCCTCAGCCTTTTTGTATCATGGTGATAGGGGGTTCACTATTCCAACTGTGGCCTCATTAGTGAAGGGTAGAGTGGTACCATCACTTCTGGTATTCTTGGTGTTATCCCTCTGTTGATGCAACCTAGGATTGCATTGGCTTTTTTGACAGCTGCAGCACACTGCTGGCTTATACTTAAGCAGAGGTCCAGTAGGATCACTAGATCCTTCTCACAGGTTCTACTATTAAGCCAGGTACTGCCTATGCTGTACCTTTGCATTTTGGTTTTTCTTGCTTAGGTTCAGGATCTTACGTTTCTCACCACTAAATTGCATCTTGTTCTGTTGTGGTTCCATCTTGTTTTTTTATCATCCCATACCTTCAAATATGCCTTTAAAAAAACCTATGAGATATAAGAAGAAACTGTAATACATGGAAAACACCAAGCTGAGGAAAGAAAAGTAAAAAAAGAGTAAAATCACAATGGATATTTGAATTATTTTCTTGTTTCTTTGCATAATCCTCAAAGGGAGGCCTTTGACCTAATAAATATAGAATCTAGCTTCTAGCACACCTCACCACTAGTCAAGATGGCTGAGACTGCTAGGAGTAATATCTGGAGATCCACAGGCTAACTATCCCCTTTCCAATCTACAATATTTCCCCCCTGTCCTTATTTCCAGGATTCAAAAGCAACACCTTGCTGATCTTGACTCAGAATGTGAAGATAGCCTTGGTTAATGCTGGGATGGCAGACACATAGGAAATCCTAGGACTATAGATCAGACTTGAAGGGCAAAAGAATATCTGGAAGAAGGCAATGGTCTTCAGAGGCAGTGGGCCAGCTGCTGAGAACTGTTGCTAAAAAAACCCAATATGTAGTACCCATGAATTTGATCTCAATGGCCTAAATCATGTTTTTTTTAGGGTTTTTGGACTAGAAGACCTACCAGGTCCTTTTCCAATTCTGTTATTCTGTTATTCAATCTTGGCAACTTCAAGGATGATGGACTTCAACTCCTAGAATTCTGGAAGTCTTGCTGAAAACCTGGTCCTGGCTGGTGGAAAAAGAAGAGAGGCATTGTAAACATGGTGTTAATGTGAGTGTTCTTATTTTCCATTCATAAGATTTAACCAATAAACAAGGTTGAGGGTAGCATAATGACGAAAAACAAAAAGTTTTGATTGCATTGGGAATATATTAGTTGGACGGCTGTCTCAGCAGCTGGCCCATTGCTTCTGAAGACTGTGTTATTCCAGGAACTACATAAATAATCAGAGACCTTGGGAACTTTTATTTGTCCAGAATCCTCTATTTGCCAAGTCAACCATTCACCACGTTACAATGAATGTGCACCTCCTATATATGATACTTGATAAGCAAAGTTGCCAGATCTTTATACAAAGATCAACAGTCTCTTCCTAGGTGGGCTGATTTTTCAATCTCTAAATCATCATTATAATTGCCCAATTCTTTTATTACTTCTTCTCCCCATCAAGATTTTAAAGTTACTGGACCTCTGCTTTGAATCCAAGCCCAGGATCTTACACCATTGTGATTTGTTCAGAGAGATTTCCTTGCTCTTGAGTTGCCAGGCATATGAATTTAGCCATTTATCTGATGCTTTTTGAAACTTGCTGAATAATGAAAGGAGAAAACAAAATTCAGCAAGCCAGAAACAAGGCAGCAAAGATCAGAACTACAGGCTTTTTAAAAAATAAGCAGATGAATAAGTAATATTCCAGGGCTTGCCATTTTTCAGTTCTGGATATCTAACATGCACGCAAATGAAAATCGGATGCGTTGCTTAATACATTCCAATTCCACAAGAAAAAAGGAGCTGCTGCTAGGAGACATCACAAAGTTGAATGAGGAGCCTGAAATCTGAACTATTCTCCCCCCCACCCCCACTCCTTCTCCTCCTTCATCCTGTGGTGGATGGAAGCCCTGCCAAGATTTTAAGGCCCAGCTATGTTGTTGTTGGCTAGAACAGAGGGGGCTGGGAGAAAAGAGAACAAATCAGATTCAAAACACCTTTTGCCATCTGGCTTTAGACTGGGACAGAAACAACTTTCGGCTGCTTTTTCTTTCTCTGCCTCAATGTTGTTTCAGTTAAAGTTGGGGCAGCACTTTAATAAGTTGGTAAGCCAAATTTTGCTTTCATTATAGGATGAGAAGATTCGGGCATTTCAGAAATTTTGGGGATGAACATAGATGTATGCACCCTTTAAAGTTTATGTAAGTCACATCTACATCCTACTAGTGGCTGCCTTTTCTTCAATGCTTCTCATTTCTAGGAAGAAACATTTTTAAAAAGTATAATTTATTTGTCTTGCCCTTCATCTTATAGTAAAGAAGTGTAAATATGACTTGGGATACTGGTTTTGTTTTCAGGGCCCCATATCTAGGCTGAGAACTTTTCTAATGTTGCCTAGATGAACCAAACAATAATCAACAATAATTACATGACTGGCAGACTGATTCCTATGTTTCTCCTGGCATGTTTCTAAAATCATACCTGAGGGACTTACCTTAACATTCATTCTACCTGTTCTATTCTTTCCCAAATTGGTACCCTATAGGTGTGTTTGATTTCAGCACTCATAATCCCATTGCTCATGGCCATATTTCAAACATGCTGCTTGGAAATGTTAGGATTTTGTATCCATCCATCTGTAGCTGGGGAAGATTCTAATGTTAATGAATACATAACATCCATTAGAGCACAGGGACCAACTGATTCTTTAAACTCTGCACTTTTCCAGACTGCAAAAACTGCATACAAAAAGACATGCATGGGATAGCTGCTGTAATACATTAGGGAAGTTGCTTATAAATGATACCTGTTGGGGACAGGAAAATATAGAATGGAATAACTTAGGAAAATTTAATATGCAAGTAAATGTAGCTTTTATGAGCACTTTTAAAAAATGATGAGAATATTCAAAAGAATAGGATAATGATTGAGTGTATGCAAATTGTAAGAGGCAAAAGTACATCTTATTTTTAGTGTGAAGCTGTAAGCAATAAAGTTGTGGGCAATATTTTCCTATCAACCCAATCATTATATTATCTCCTCTTTACTCAGATCTTCCTCCTCTGTTGATAGTGCTGTTGAATACTGCTTCTGAAAACAAAACAAAAAATGTTTTGTGACCTTTTTTGTGCATGTTTGTTTCCATTTTTGATATTATGTATGGATGAATATAGCCAAATAAGGGGTCCCCAAATATTTTAATGAATCTGGCCTCTCCCTCACCTTTATCTTTCCAACCTCTTCATTAAAGCTTAACATGGATGACATTTTGTGGACATTATTGTACATTTTTTTAATACACATCCAAGTTTACTCTTACCACAAAATAAAATACAGTGTTTCATTTTTGGGAGGCAGGGGGGTTGTCCAGATGCATTATGAGAGACCGAACTTCAAAAGAGCATGATTATATAAAGTAGCAGACACCCCCCAAATCCACAAATTTTAGTTATAGCAAATTAACTGCGTAGCTTCTTTTAAACTGCCTGGGTTTTGGACTGAGGAGAGTTAAAAACTATAGAGTTAAACATGATCTCCTGCCATGCCTTCCAGACAGAAAATAGATAGCTGGGATTGCTCATACAAAAGTTTCTGGCCAGGCTTCTTAAACAGTTAATCTCGGTCAGTTCTATCTGGTTTGCACATGTGTTTCCTGTTTTTCCTTCTAAACTCTATACTGTTCAGGGACCTGGGGAATGAGCATGCAGGATTTTCCTGTAAGGAAAGGCTGCTTTGTTCATTAGAGCCCTGGGAATGTGTTAAAAGTTTAGTGTGTCCACTGCAGACAACCAAATCATCTTTCCAATCCAAGAGCAGTAATCAGTTTTGGTTATTAGAGAGCTATAGCCAGGAGCAAGGCAATAATCAGAACGTTTCTCTAAGCTGTGTCAGCATTGTGGGTCAGGGCATTCAGTATCTGCTAAAGGTACTTTAGATGTATTACAATACAAAAAAAGAGAATGACTCATTATATGTAATGAAATAGATTGGGTTATAGGCTATAGATAATCCCCCAGACATCTTCTTCTGAATTTCTCTTTAGATTTTGCAGCTTCAAATTCTGTGGCTGTGTTATCGAAGGGAGACCAATGGATTGGAAATTGTTTATTGTACTGTTAAAAAAAAAAGATAAAGTTTTTTCCCCAAAGTGTTGCACATGTGCAATTCATCTCAGCTCCCTTCATTTTTGCCTATTCCCACATTATCAGAACAATAGAGTTAGAAGGGACTTGGAGGTCTTCTAGTCCAACCCCCTGCTCAAGCAGGAAACCCCCTACCAGGGGTGTCAAACCTATTTTCATTGAGGGCTACATCAGGGTTGTGTTTGACTTCAGAGGGAGCGTGGCCAGGGGGCATGGCCAGCTCAATGTCACTCATGTTGGGGGCACCTGGGTGGCCAAGTGCTAAGGCAGAACTTCCCTCAGACTCTCCCTCCCTCTCCTCATAATCTCCTTCCTTCCTTCCTTCCTTCCTTCCTTCCTTCCTTCCTTCCTTCCTTCCTTCCTTCCTTCCTTCCTCTTCATTCTCCTTTCTCCTGCCTTCCCCTCCTTCATTTTTCCTTCCTTGCTCTCTTCTCATCTTTCCTTCTTTTTCTTTGCCTTTCCTCCTTCCCTTTCTCCTTTCCAGTCCCTTCTTGCATGGTCAAATGCAAAAGGGGAAATATTTCTCCTTTTGTTTTATTTTTAGTTTGTTTTGCTAGCCCTCTGCCAGCAAAAATGGAGCAGAGGCACCGTGGGCCAGTCCTTTGCTGTTTCCAGGGCAGCCCCGCAGGCCAGATCTAAGCACCCCACAGGCTGAATCTGGCCCATATCCCTATACCATTCCAATTATCTATTCAATCTCTTCTTGAAAGCCTCCAGTGATGGAGCACCCACAACTTCTGAAAGAAAAACCATTCCATGGTTTATTGTTCTCGCTGTCAGGAAATTTCTCCTTACTTCTAGAAATACTCAGCATGGGGTTCTGGATCCACTTGCCAATTGCAGGTCTTAATACAGATATATTTCATTGTCCTTTCACTGCACTCTTTACAACATGGTGACATTTCCCTGTTTATTTCTATTTACTTTTTAAATTTATAACCAGTCTTTCATTCAGGAATTCAAAGCAGCATATAGAGCAGTCTCTACCTCCTTCTCTCCCCAAAACCCCACAACCATATCAGATAGGTTGGGCTGATAGACAGGAACTAAAGTCACCAATGGCTGAGGATGGATTAGAACTTGGATTTCCCTGCTCCTAGTCTGACACCTTATCAATTACTCCCTATTGTGTATTTCATCTTACATGTGAGATCACTTTCCATCAAGCATTTGCGGAATCCAAAAAGCCCCTGAATTTAGACCCAAGGGCTGGATTGATTACTATGTTAGGGATCTTATGCTATGCATGTTCCAACATCCAAAGGGTACACTCTTCATTTATTATTTTTATTTATTTTATTTATTTATTTGTCAAACATGTATAAGATAACAGATATAAGTATAAACATGATTATGAATACAGGAAATGGATACGAATAAATGGGGACGGTAGGACAGGGACGGTAGGCACGTTGGTGCGCTTTGCACGCCCCTTATAGACCTCTTAGGAATGGGGTGAGGTCAACAGTAGACAGTCTAAGGTTAAAGTTATGGGGGGTTGGGGATGTAATCACAGAGTCAGATAGTGCATCCCAGGCATTGACCACTCTGTTACTGAAGTTGTATTTTCTGCAATCGAGTTTGGAGCGGTTTACCTTAAGTTTGTATCTATTGTGTGCTCATGTATTATTGCGGTTGAAGCTGAAGTAGTCATTGACTTTTTTGCATATTATATCCTTGTTCTCTTACATGCTGGGCTTTGTTCTTCTGAATGAAGTGCTTAGGAGAAGAGCCTCCTTGTTTTTCTTTTCAACGATTTTGTCATAGAATGGATCTAGCTTTTGGTTGCTCATTCTCTTAGCAGAAGGACTTCCATTTGGATTGCTGTCCATTTGGTTCTCTGATATCCACTAGTTAGTGGGTTCAAAACAAACTTGTATGATTCTCCTGGGATATCTTCATGATATAAATACAGTTATGACAATGACTCCTCACAACCATTAGCAAGATGGAGATTTTGAAAGCATTGTTGTTTTTTTTCATCACGTCACATGCAGTCATGCTAACTTCAGGATGACTCATTAATAGCTGTTGGGATCAGGAAAGGATAAGCACATCTATTCTATGGTCCCATGATTTCAGCTGTGTTTGACAAATGAGTTAAATTATTTTTAGGTCATCTAGAATGCAGGAAGCCAAAATAATGCTAGGTGTTCTTTTCTTTCTTTCTTTTTTAGTTAAAAATAGTTGTAGCTATTTGGAGGTTGTGGGTAGCCTATTTTTCCACTTTCAGGAATTCCTATTTCACCCCACCTCCTGGGTTTTAGCTGTCCTATCAGGTCTTTCCAGGAGAAAGGCAGTGTCCAGTTCTTTCACCTCTATCCATAGGACATGCTGAGATTTTTTTCCATAAAACTACCAGGCAAAACACACTGTAGAGCAGTGGTTCCCAACCTTCCTAATGCCTTTAATACAGTTCCTCATGTTGTGGTGACCCCCAACCATAAAATTATTCCTAAAACCATCGAAAATATGTGTTTTCTGATGGTCTTAGGCCAGGGGTCCCCAATCTTTTTGACCTCAGGGACCACCAAGTTCATAATTTTAAATTTTGTGGACTACTAATATGAATCCAGCGCGCCACTTGCTGAAGCACCTGGACTCCCAGTGACGGGATGGGGTCCTTCAGGCACTCTCCCTCCTCTCTCTCTCTCTCCCTCCCTCCCCCCCTCCCTCTCTCCCCCTCTCTTTCTCTCTATCCCTCTCTTTCTCTCTCATTCTCTCTTTCTCTCTCATTCCCCCTTTCTCTTTCTCTCTCTCCCCTCTCTCTCTTTCTCATTCTTTCTCTCTCCCCCTCTTTCTCTCTCTCCCCAACTCTCTCTCTCATCTCTTTCTCTCTCCCCCTCTTTCTCATTCTCTCTTTCCCTCTCTCTACCACTCTTTCTCTCTCATTCTCTCTTTCACTCTTTGTCTCTTTCTCTCTCTGTCTCATTCTGATTCTCTCTCTTTCTCTCTCTCTCATTCTCTCTCTCTCTCATCTCATGGGCCAGCCAGTGTCTTGGGGCTGAGAGGAAGCCAAGCATCTCCCTGAGAGACTGAGGTGCGTGGAGCACCAACAA